AGAGCATTAAAAACCTTGATGCCACCCTTCCTAGAAAATATTTCTTTGAGGTATTTTCCACAGAAGACAGAATCTTTGTGCTTCTCATTATGCAAATCCTAGAGATTAGCTTGAAGATGGCAAAGCAAACAGGAAAGAGCATTTAATTTGTGGAAAGCTTGGGGAATAAAATAAAATTTCTGAAAATGTGTCTCCCCCCAAAGATTTTTAAAACACAAAGAAGGTGGAAAAGGTTATGGTCATAAAATAGCTGGCGCGGAGATGGGTTAATGAGAATGTGCTGTGCCACTGAACAGATTGGGTGTGTGGTGAATTTCTAGGCTTTAGTCTGGGCGTGTCCAACCTTTTTTTCTCTGCCACACATTGGAAGAATAAGAGTTGTCTTGAGCCACACATTAAATACACAAAAATTAAGGAAAGCTGATGAGCCAATTTTTAAATTCGGCAGCCACTAGAAGTCACTTGGTCTAGAAGAGCAGGTATCTGAAGGATTTTGCATCCTAGGACATCTGAGACACATCTAGAGAATGTGGACAAGCTTTGGCCAGACATGAAAGAATAATTTTTTTCTTTCTGTTTATTTCTTTGAATAAATTTTTCGGGGTTACCCAGGGAGCAGTTGTCTATACGTTCTGAGGCACATTCATTTCTTCCGTGAGAAATGATTCTTCTCAGATTTCTCAACCTCAGATTTTTGCAACCAGGTTGGTTGATAACCCAGTACCACTCTACTGGGACCAGGAGTAGAACTTTCCTGGTGAAGACCTGTGAGAGGTTTGAGAATAGGCCGAGAGAATTGCTATGGCTACACTGAGGCTATGTGTCTGTATGGCTAGCTGGATATGCGTTTGGAGCTTTCAGAATCACACTGCTGCTGTTGCAGTGCAGCCAGGACAGCCAAGGACCCTCTAAGCCCCTGGGACAGGGTGATAGAGACAGGTTTCAGCAGCCATCCGACTTCAATGCCCATCATGATGCTTTCACTGCAGTGCCCAGTGTGCAGGGGGAGACTCACACAGGGATACTCGGTTCTGTAGCTTGAACCTCCAGTTCAAACACTTTCTTTGCATTCAGCTAGACCAGCAGTGCTCAACCTGTGGGTCGCGACCCACAGGAATTGTATTAAAGGGCTGCAGTGTTAGGAAGGTTGAGAACCACTGTACTAGTCAAAGTTTCTTTGCTTGGCCAACTGTTAGTCTTCTGAACGTCCGCCTAGGCCCATCTGTGTACATCCTTGTGCTAAGTGACTTTAACAAGGACCCCACCATTTGTAGTCACTGCGCTCCAGGTGTTGTCTGATCACACTGGCATGACTTCAATAAGAATCCTGTGAGCCCAGGAGTTGGAGGTTGCTGTGAGCTGTAATGCCAGGGCACTCTACCCAGGGGGATTCTTCAATAAGAATCCTGTGAGCCCAGGAGTTGGAGGTTGCTGTGAGCTGTAATGCCAGGGCACTCTACCCAGGGGGATTCTTCAATAAGAATCCTGTGAGCCCAGGAGTTGGAGGTTGCTGTGAGCTGTAATGCCAGGGCACTCTACCCAGAGCTTGAGGCTCTGTCTCAAAAAAAAAAAAAAAAAAAAAAGAATCCTGTTACTTCAGTCTAGTCAGACTCTCCCTTGCTTCTGATGTTTCTTCTTAGTAATTTTTAGCTTACTGACTCACTCCTTGGCTGTCAAGTCTCATTTTCCCAGTTGTATTGGAGGTTAAGCCCAATTTGCCCCCCCCATTCCAAAATAGTATTGCCATGGTCCTTACATCTGCACTGATAGTCCTGAATAAAATCTGCCTTACCATGCTTTAAAAAGTATCATTGAACAATTTTTTCTTCAAAAACTTACTACACAATAAGATAACTAAAGCCTTCTTCTATTTTTCTATGCTGGACGCCCCTAGCAGAGGGGTTGCTGGGAGCACCAAATTAATGTGAGCAGAAAAATAAATCTCGTACAGCTCCCCTCCTGTGCCTGGTGTATGTTACATAGTTCTCTTGATGTTGATCAGTTTATCGATCATTTTCCTGTATCTTATCAGTTGGGAGTTTATGGAAGTTTGTCGGACTAAGCCACAGTACTACTAACAAGAGCTGAGGGTGGGTGAATGGGGCTGAAAGCCCTTGTCCCGCCTACCCTGCTCTGCTCTCTCCCAGGTAGATGAGGCCAATGTGCCTGGAGGAAAAGGCATCTTTTCTTTACCTAAAGGCACCACACAGTCCAACAGCAGCTCAGCCAAGACATTTAGCATTTCATGACTGAGTACAACTGATTCTATCATTGACCTTGAACAACAGTCTTGAGAAGCATGGACCCACTTAGGGTGGATTTCCTTCTCTCTCTGCCCTGCCTGAGACAGCAAGACCTCCCCTTCCTCTTCCTCCTCCTCCTCAGTCTCCTCAAGGGAAAGATGAAGAGGATCAAGACCTTTATGATTCACTTCTTACTTGCCAGATACTAAATGTATTTTCTCCTCCTTGTGATTTTCTTAATAAATTTATTCAATTGTAAGAATACGATCTGTAATATATGTAACATACAAAATATGGGTTGATCTACTGTTTAGGTTAGCAGTAAGGCTTCCAGTCAACAGTAAGCATAAGTATTAAGTTTGGGGAGAACCAAAAGTTATACATGTGAATTTGTTGATTATGTGGGGGATCAACACCCCTACCCTGTGTTGTTCGAAGGTCACCTGACAATCTTTCACATTCACTCTTTCCACCTCATCCCTAAATACCGTGGAAAAGAATAGCTCCAGCAGCCCTTCATCATATTTTTGCAGATCGCAAATTGTTGGCACTTAGCTTGTTCTTGGGGTAAAATGCCCCACTTCCTTTACACTTAAGGTGCCACACTGTTTTTTTGTCATCATACCTTTTACATCGTTTCTTCCAGAATCATAATCCTTATCATGAATGAACATTTCTCTTAAACAACTTACCGTATCGATGATGAAACTACTTTGGAGGGTTGAGTCCACTTTCAATTCCTTGAAAGGGCAGAAATTGGAATTGTAAGAGAATATGTAGTGGTGATAAGTGTACTGTGGCTTCCCCAAGCTCCCTGGTTGAATAGAAACTGCATCCCTGGGCTGTGATAAAGGCATCTTTTACAGAGCAGGGCAACTTCTCTGCTGGCCTGCACCTGAGTTATAGTGGCCACTTTAAATATGTGCTTTTACCCAGAGAAAAGATTTGATATCAGCAAGCACAATGCCATCATACACACAGGATGAGAATCCAAATATTCTGGCTGAAGTGGAGGTGAAGAGTCAAGTTCACAGGGTTGTTTCTTTGCTATTCCTGCTTTCCAAATGGCAATTTATTAAACACTTGAATAAAATACCACAGACGGTACTGAACCTAGGAACCTGGCGGTGAAGCTGTGTTCACTGCCATCAAAAAGTTCATTCTCTAGCTGAGCTGCTGACACCTGTGTACTGTGCAGACTGCACAGCACATGTGAAATTGGCCACTGCATTCATCTCTGGGAAGGCACAGCTCTCGGTCAGGGTGGAGACCTTTCCCAGCCCCCTGTTTCCCACCCTGAGGCAGAAAGCCAGCTGTGGGACGGTGAGACTGAAGCTTAGGGGAGAGGCACATCTGAGAAACGGGCAGCTTAGAGGCAGGACACAGCACATCTTTGACCGAGACTTTAGAAATTAATAATATGAACTCTTCTTCATCCTAAATAATCTGCAGCACTGAAGCTTCCCCAAAAGGTAATTTTTATCTTTTTTGGATAAGGATGAGGGAGGGGGAAGGGTGGGGATGGGAAAGGTAGGCATGTAGAGAGAGAGAGAGGAGACTGGTGCCGGGCAGTGCAACATCTGGAGCTTAGTTGTTTCTCCAAGTTCTTAAATGGGATTTGTTATGGATAACAAGGTAGATACCAATTTTAAATATGATATGAAAATTTTTGCATTAAAATAAACAAAATAGTTTTTTTTCTTTCCTACTATTTAACAAATAGTATCTGGACTCCCCAGAATCTGGAATTCTTTTTCTTTTTCTACCAAGACCCTAGGGACTTGAGGTCCCATCTTTTGTTTGTTTGTGTGCTTGCTTGCTTTAATACATCTCTCTTCTTCTGGAAAGGCTTGAATCCAAAGCTGTCGGTTATCTGTTGTTGTGTTTCCCATTAGTTAATCTCTGACCTTTCATAAATAAAATTGGACAAAGTTCCTTGATTAACAGAGGAAACCCATAAATCACAGTAAAGGGGCACACAGAACACAAATATGCTTGAGGACTTTTCTATTCATAACCCTACCTTTATAAAAGATTTAGGAGAAATGGCGTAGAACTAGAAGTATTCTGCAACACCAGGAGTGAACTTTTCTTACAAGGAATCTTTAACCGATAAATTATTGTGTCTTATTTGGCTGCAGGGGCCTAACATGACCTGCTGTTAAGTCCTATCACTTTTACCCCATATCACAGCCTCCCTGTTGCTGCTTCCTTATCTCAGTGTGAATTCAACAGCTCAGTAGCCTGATCCTTCCGAGATAAATGAATATGAAAACAAAATGAAACAAAAACTTCTTATCTATGGCCTCCAACCAAATATTTAGGTTCAGTACCATTTAGTGATACATGTTATATGCCATTACAACTAATAGCATGGTGATCTGACCAGGCACTTGGTGTGAACAAAGGACTAACAAAGACCAGGAAGAAATAAATAAACTTCAGATAAAAAAACAGCAGGATTTCCTAGGAATAATCTTACATAATAGCAAAGGTGGCAGAGAGGTTAAATAGAATGAAGGTGGAGAAAACAGAACTTTCCTACAGAATGATTTCCCAGGAGATCTCATCAAATGCTGAGGTGTTTTCAGAGTCTCATCTAACAAGTACAAAGGTTGCTAACCTAGCTGGCCTATTGTTTAGATAAACAAAACTAAACTAGCAACATCAAAATTTCAGACAAAAACCCCCAGCAAATCAGAATCAAAATTTCAGACAAAAAACCCCAGCAAATCAGAATCGGACAGTCAAAACAAATTTTTGGTCATTCTGTTTATTTCACTTAGAACACTTGGTGAACATTAGCTAGGGCACTTAAAAGTCAATTCAATTATGAACCTCTTTAATCCTTCATCAATTATTTCGAGTGTTCGAGTCTCAAACACACCTCTTTCTTCCACAAACTTCTGAAAGAGATGAACACCTCCACCTACACCAAAATAATGTGCTTTGCTGGCCAAAAGTACTTGTCCATTTTTACCTAACAGTCTAAGGAATGTTTGGTGCAATGTACCGTAATAATCTGGATTGTAAATGGTTTCTGAGGTGAGAATGAGATCATATTTCACAAAGAGTTTTTCTCGGCTTAGTACAAGCTTACAAAACTCAGACCACTCCCCAGAATAGAACTGACATTTATATGGTTCTTGTACTACGTCTGATTTCCTGCATCTTTTCACATCTGGTTTGTTTACATCATTTTCTTCATCTTCCAAATTGGAGTTAGCTATTACATTGGGTAAAGTTACTTCATCAATCACCATACTATTATAATCTTGAAAATGAATTTCTTTGGCCCCTCCCTTGAATGCAGTGATACCCAGCAACCCTGATCCACAGCCAAGATCTAACACTTTTTTGCCAGCAAATTTCACTTTGGCCTTTATGAAATAAGCCAAGAGGTCAAAGGTACATTCCCAGATTTTTAAGCCTCCTTCATAAACACCTGTAATCAGATCAGTGTGAGAAGAAAAGCTTTTTGAAACTATGTTTTCTCCAGGGAAGCTGTCTTTCAACAAGACAGTTTTCACTACTGATAAGTTAGCATGCTGGAGACCCGGTAATGTTTCTATCACTTTATTTTCTAACACTTTCTTTAAATCTTTGGGCATAACATGCTCTTTGGCAGCTCTCAAGCAGGGCTGTTTTTTATGTGGCTCCAAGTTATCTGAATCACTAGCTGCAGTGAGTGGACTATCTGTGTCTTGAGAAGGAGCTGCATTTTCCACTGACTTATTTTCCCACAAGTGGTCCCGAGGCGAGTCAAGTTGTTCTATAGAACATTTTCTGTCCCTGTGTTCTCTTTTTTGACTTTCTAAGACTGACAGCTCTTTTGAAGAATCCAAGGTCAAAGCTCCATCTCCGAGGGGTGCTAATTTACTTTCCAGATGGTCTTCTATAGTGAAATTAAACTGAAAGGTCATTCTTATTAAATGCACACAATCCTTAAATTTATAGAAATACTCTTCAACTTCTAGAAAGAATTTGATGATACACATAAACCCGCATCAATAATTCCATTAGTCTTCTTGGGAGAACTTTCTTTTTAGCTGCTTATACACTGTAACAAACAGTGTATACTTCCAACTGATTTTTCACAGGTCTTAGTTCTTTTTTCAATTTAGCTCTGGAGAAAAAAAAAGAAACAAAATGATGATTGAAGCAAAATGTCACATTTCACTAAAATGTAGTATCAAATAACATCCCTCCCTCAATATAGCTGTCTTTTCTAAGAGTGTACCCAGCTCCAGAAGCAAGAACGTTCTTTTTTCTAATAGTATTTTTAGTTCCCTCATATTTCAAATGAGTTTTCAGTGTCCACATTGTGACTACAGCTGGCTGCTCTAAGTGGCCTTGAACTGGCAGTAGCAGTTTTCTTTCAACACTGGTAGCTTAGCAACTGCAGTTTCAAACTAAGCTGAGAATAGACAGATCTCGGTAAGATCTGATGACCAAAACTTTGTAGCTTTGTTGTAACAACACACTCCTTTAGTTTTTTTTCCCAGAAAAGGCAGAACCTCCTTGCAGCTGTAACTAACCCCTTTGTACAAAGAAGACAAGACAAGCAATACTCCATCACAGACTGTGCCCAAGGTCCCACCTGCACAAAAGGCTCTAAGAATGACCAATATTAATTCCTAGATCATGACAGTACTAAAATCTCCACCCTGGAAGGGACCTCTCTGCCATTTTTTGATCAAGGGATGCATGTACTAGCATGATTTCTCACTGTGCTTTGGGAACCTGTACTCCACCCCAAACAAGTAATGATGCTCACTCTCCTCGTGCATTATTCATTTCACTTCCAGAAACCTGCCCTCCCCATCCTGTTGGTGAGAAGGTGGATTTGACAAAGTCCATACCTCCCACCTCTCAGTCCACGGGTCCACTGTTTAAGGTCCACTGTAATACATGGTTTCTTCCTTGACAATCTTGGTGTCTCAGTAATTGGCTTTTTGCGCAACAAGCAACACTGTTTGTGGGTTCGTGAAAAAAAAAAAGCCATAGTTAGAGACAGAGATAAGAGACTTGGACACACACCATGACTGTCCGAAGATTGGAGTAGAAAATAAATTATTAAAACAAAAGAACAGGGGCAGCAGCCACCACCTCCACCAGAACAAACATAATGTCCAAGATTTTCACATAGGACAGCTTAGCTACTTGGTAGCCTTCAGCTGTCTCGACTGTACCCAAATATAATCACCCCTTAAACTTCCAGAATCTCTTCCCTTCTGTCTCAAATAAAAGAAGTTCAAGATTTTACTTTGGGAAGTGAGCATCTCCTTAAAAATAATGCACTTATGGGCTGGTGTGTAAATTCATACAAAAGACTTCACTATACACATTTAGCCCAGGCCAGCAGCCCCTAAGGTACGCTAGAGGGGCAACCGGGGCGTGCAATAAAGACTAAATTAGGTGGCCGGATGGACACAAAATAAACGCCCTGCACTAACCGTCTGGATAGGCCTGCAGAAAATAGAAGTAACTTTACAGAGAATCGTTTCTATTTCCTCTGTGCTTGACACTACCATCTGCTTCAATTTGCACAACAATTCTGGAAGACTGGATCTTTATTCCTCTTACACAAGATGTACAAAGGGGGCTGACACAGTCAAGCAAGTCAGAATGTGACTTGTTTCTATCCCAACCCGCTGCAGGGCTTGAATCCATTTCCGGCTGCAGGTCCCAGGCCAAATCTAACCCCAGAAGTGCAATCGCAAAACCCCGTGGGTAGCAAACCTGGGGACTCCTAGCCCTGCCCTCCCCATCTCGAGGTAACGTCTACCTGGAGACCCTCACTGGCCGGTGAGCCTTGGGAGCACGCGGCTGAGAAACCGCGCCCCGTGCCTCCGCCTGCGTGCTCACAGAGCGCACCAGTGAGTCGAGTTTGCCGAGGGCCAGACAAGCCCGGCTTCCTGTTTGGCCGTGAACGACTGGGGTCCACCTAGCAACCCAGGCCGCGTCCTCTCTATGGTTTTGGAGCCGGCGGCGAGCTCGCAAGGGCTGCTGGGACTATGAGAGCTTCCGGTCTGGGCTGTGGCGGGAGAATTTCGAAGCTGCCTTAGGCCAAAACATGTCCCAGGAAAGCGCAGTCCCAGCGAGCGCGGTCCCGCTGGAAGAATTGAGTAGCTGGCCAGAGGAGCTATGTCGTCGGGAGCTGCCGTCCGTCCTGCCCCGGCTCCTCATATCCTTGTTTGTCACTTCCTAGAGAGGGGTAAGGGGCGGCTCGTGGACCTTCCCCCCAGTCCGCTCGCGCCCACCGTCGGGCAGTGCTTTGTTGCTGCAGCCTGAACTCTTTGTCTTTGTCGAGTGGGGTGAACAGCGAGGGAGTGGAGGCGCGAGAACCGTAGCAGATCGGAGGCTTTTGTTTCTGCAAGGGTTCCCAGTCGTGTTCTGACTTAAGGTTTTGGCAGTGTGTGTGGCGTTTTCTTTCGAACTTGAAATTGAGTGCAAATACTTAGCACGGGGACAAGTGGGGAGGCAAGGTCTCAACCTGAGCTATACGGCTTTCTCTCTGGCTCTTAAAAGGTGGATGAAGTAAAGCGAGATACTCTGAACTTTTAAGAATTGAAGGATGTAGTTCTTTGGTGTCAATTTTTTTTTTTTTTTTTTTTGAGACGGAGCCTCAAGCTGTCCCCCTGGGTAGAGTGCTGTGGCATCACAGCTCACAGCAACCTCCAACTCCTGGGCTCAAGCGAGTCTCCTGCCTCAGCCTCCCAAGTAGCTGGGACTACAGGCGCCCGCCACAACGCCCGGCTATTTTTTGGTTGCAGCCATCATTGTTGTTTGGCGGGCCCGGGCTAGGGATTCGAACCTGCCACCTTAGGTGTATGTGGCTGGCGCCTTAGCCGCTTGAGCCACAGGCGCCGAGCCGGGTGTCAAATCTTTTAAAAATGTTTAGCAAAAGTTCCCCGCCCCCCGCTTCCTTTTCGGACCTGTTTTGTTTTATTCGTAGGAAGAGTTGCTTCCCACTGTTGCCTTCATCTGCAGGATTTGGGATGTTTAATGCCTCCGCTGTCCAGGTGCAGACCATTCTTAACTAGTCTCGTGCCTTCGTGGTTGTAAATGTGCGTGGAGTCCCAGCCCTTCGTGTTAAAGTGTGTGTATGTATATACACTTGAACTCACCTTCAAAATTAGACTAAGAAGAGTGATGCTCACTTGACAAGAGTTCCGACATAACGAAAATAATTTTTCACAGCTAAAGCCTATTGTAACTAAGTATCACCAGAAGGAAGAAGTAATTCACCTAGTCATTAGCAGAAGCCAAGTAGGTGCCAGAGCCCTTTCATAGTTTTTGTATAGAGAACTGCTGTCCTCAGGACTTTAAACTTGGAAACAAAGAACCATCTTCCTATTCAAAAATATTTACTGCCATGCACAATGCGTACCCGTGCACAATGTGTATCTGGCATTGGGGGAGCAAAGATAAAGATTCCTCTTCTTCCTCTCAAGAATATAGGGAGGCGTCATTAAATTGAACGTCAACATTCCCACTCAGCTTTGCACCTCAAAATTGACATGTTCAAAAGAACCCAAACTTGTTCTTTGTCTGGTTCTTCATCTAAGTAAATGATTTTATAAGCCAAAACTTTGAATTCTATCTCTTGCACCAAATCAGCAAGTTTTATTGTTTCTGACTACAAACTATATCTTCAATCAATCCACTTATCTCCATCCCCATAGCTGCCAGTCTTGATTCCAAACCCCTATCACACTTCACCTGGATTAGTAATATAATAGCTTCCTTCTGTTCATGGTTCTAGTAATCCTTTCTTAAAAAAAAATACCGGGGCAAAACAGATTAGGTCATTTTCCTTTTAACCACCTTCAGTTGCTTTTCAGCAAGTTAGGAATAAAAGCCAAATTTACCTTGTGCTCCCATGGGACCTACAGGTTGAGAACTGCTGCCTTAGAGGGACTTTTTTTAGAGCTCTCAATCTTAGGTTGTTCCCCAAATCCAGTCTGTTATACTTTTATCATAGTGTCTTTTTTTTTTTTTTTTTTTTGAGACAGAGTCTCACTTTGTTGTGCTTGGTAGAGTGCTGCGGCATCATAGCTCACAGCAACCATAAACTCTTGGGCACAAGTGATCCTCTTGCCTCAGCTTCCCAAGTAGCTGGGACTGCAGGTGCCTGCCACAAGGCCCAGCTATTTTTTTAAGAGATGTGGTCTTACTCTGTCTGCTGTTGCTCAGGCTGGTCTCAAACACCTGAGCACAGGCATTCCCCCACCTCAGCCTCCCAAAGTGCTAGGATTACAGGTATGAGCCACCTTACCGGGCCTTAGAGTGTCCTTTTTGGTTTTCTAAAAAGTCAGCAGAAATTAATCTTATTTGCTTTATTTTCCACTTTGCCACATTATACTGTAAAGTACTTAAAGGCAGGGCCTTGTTTTCACAGCATTATCCTCAGCATCTAGAACAGTGTCTGGCACATAGTAAAGAGCTAAAGGTATTTCATATTTTAAAAATGTGTGCAAGTCTCACCAGACAATATTTTTTTTAGCTTATAGTCATTTATCTTTACAACAAATGAAGGAAAAGTTTGCAATAAATCCACACTCCTATCACCCAAACATAATTATTCCATGTTTTGAATTTTACATAATTTCCAGTCCTTACCTGCATGTCTAGGTAATCATAGTTTCTGATTAATTTTGGAATGGCTAGAATTTTTTGAGCTGTACTGAACAAATGATTTAATGACTGCACCTGTAATTTGAATTTAATTTCAAATTCTTATGGATCATTGCTTAAATTTCAAGATGAGTCATTTTGATTTCTGCCCTAAAAAATGCATATTCAGAATAAGATTTCAGGAGAGGAATAAATTTTTATATTAGGGTAATAGAATTATGAGTTGTTATTGACTTGTTTCATGATTCTTACAGTTTTTATAATAAAAATTTTCTAATAATTACTCTGATGTTATCTCAGTGGTTTATAACGTGATTACTGTTAACTTTTTTATTGAACATAGGATAATTTATTGTCACATTTGTAAGCTGCTATGTGCAGAATAATTTCAGTCTGATAAAGTTGGCAAGATAGGTATGCAGCTAACTTGAAAATAAGATAGGTGATGAGCAGCTTAAGACAGATAGAAATAAAGTACTGAGATGTTTCTTTCCTGTAGTAGAAACCAGAATGGATCATTACAGCACTCTGTCTTATCTGTCAAAAGTATTTCGTGACTGCACATGGTTTGAAAAAGCAAGTTTGCTCATGAGCAATTTTGAAAATATTTCCTCACGATATTTTCAACATACTGTTTGTTTATATAATACTAAGTTTTTAAAAGCAAAATCAAGCTTAGTAATTTGAATTTAATTTCAAATTCTTACGGATTATTGCTTAAATTTCAAATGAATCATTTTTTAATTTTTTCTCAGTAATGAATATCCTATTATGATACTAGTATCTTCCTTAATTATCTTACTCTTTGTATCAATGTTCTGACAGTTGGAGTGAGCATATTCGTAAGTAAAATGATTTAATTGCATGATTTACTTTGATGTCATTGCAGCCTGAGTCCCACATAGTTTAATGGATATGTTCTGTTCTTTTCAAATTTAATCGTTTTCTGTGTTACAGCTTCTGTAACCTTCGGTTACTTAAAATGACCAAATTCCTTCAAATTACAGTGCTTAAAGTTTTAAATTCCATTTTAGATAGATACTAGCAGGGTTCTGTTGATGTTAAGTATAAGCACATTGTAAATTTTAAATGTTAAATTGTGATTAGACCTATATAACATATAATTTACAGTCCATTTAACCATCAGCCTCTAATATGTTTACTGTCAGTTAGAAAATACTTCCTGAATTGCCAAAATTTTGTTGTCTAAGTGGTAACAAATTTGTCATTTAGGGAAAATTGACTTCTTTTCTTGATCGGTCTTCCTTCGTTGGTACTACTTGATACTTTTTTTTTTTTTTAAGACTAGTCAAGTGCAGTAGTGAGAAGAGGGGAAAGAGTAGGACAAGGAGTTCAGTCTGTAACTGACTGTGAACAGTCAAGTGAGATAATTCACTACCTTCAGACCAGCTATTACTTGATACAATTTACTCAGGAGGGGATTTAGAAAGTTAAGATTAGTCTGCTCAGTTTAGTCATACTGTAGTTAGCCTATACTATTGACGTTTCACTTGGTTGTAGGATATTGGTTTATAATTTTGAATCGGTGTTGCCTGTTGGGAGTCTCATTTCTTTTAGGTTTTAATAACAAATTATTATTATTAGTATTATTTTTTTGGCTGGGGCTGGGTATGAACCTGCCAACTGCGGCATATGGGGCCAGTGCCCTACTCCTTTGAGCCACAGGCACTGCCCTAACAAATTATTTTTTATCTTGATTATAAAAGTTATTCATGTACATTTTAGACAAATCAAAACATGCAGAAAAACAAAAGATTATATAACATCCACTGATTGAAATGATTAAGATTTTGATGAGAATCTCGTTTCTCATCCTGCCAGCCTATAATTCTTTGTATGCACATTTTTATCTGTATTAAAATTGGATTATACTACTGTATCTTGCAGTCTTTTTGTCGTGTTTTAAAATATTATTTTAATGATGGCAGTTCCTATTTAATATATGTACCCACATGTATTTAACTGATCATTGGTTGTTGGGCATTTAGATCGTTTCCTTTTACTTTCTTTTTTCTTTTTTTTTTTTGCTATTATAGATAATTTTTGCTATTAGTTTTTCTACACAGAAAATGGCATTTTGAAAACATACAAACTTTTAGATTGGCGGTATTCTTGCATTCGGAAAGGGCAATGACCTTTGTTGACCGACATGTTTTAATATTTTAAAAAAATACATCACTATTTTGCTTTATAGAAATTTTGAAGATTATTATAGAAATGTTTTTACCTCATATGAACTACCTGACACTGGAACAGACATTCTTTTCACAAGCATTACCAAAGGTATAGTACTGTTATCTTTATTTACACATTATAAAGGTTGCTAAAATCTAGCCTCAGTTTTTGCTATTTTTTATTGTGTTCTGATTTTCTAATATATCAAACTTTTGAAATAGAAATACTGGTAAAAAAAGTTCTTATGTGGGAATATGATAGTGATAATGTGATCATTAAGTGATAAAAAACATTTTCAGATTGTGTAGATCCTTTACCAATTGAATTTAAATTATTTGTAGTTAATTTTGAATATTCTTGTATTTGAAAGTATTTCATGAAACTTTGCCTAGGTGATAAAGTTAGCTAAACCTTATTTTATATTCTCTGTAGTGTTTTTTTTTTTTTGGAGACGGAGCTTCAAGCTGTCCCCCTGGGTAGAGTGCTGTGGCATCACGGCTCACAGCAACCTCCAGCTCCTGGGCTCAAGCAAGTCTTCTGCCTCAGCCTCCCAAGTAGCTGGGACCACAGGCGCCCGCCACAGCGCCCCGCTATTTTTTTGGTTGCAGCTGTCATTGTTGTTTGGCAGGGGCCTGGGCTGAATTCGAACCCGCCACCTTAGGTGTATGTGGCTGGCGCCTTAGCCACTTGAGCCATAGGTGCCGAGCCTCTGTAGTGTTTTTTTAAAATTACTGTAGTTTGGTGTTTGGAAAAATGGAGCTAAAATTTATTGAAGAAGGCTTAGAACTTAAAAAGCTGAAGTATTGGTAAAATCAAGTAACTAAGAGAAAACATTAAACTCACAGATTACATTCTTTATATATATATATATATATGTGTGTGTGTGTATTTGTACTTTCTCTGAAAAGGATGGTCATACTTTTTTTTTTAATGGAGGGAGCTAAAGGTACTTTGGTACCAAAAAAATAGATTTATTTGTGATAATTTATCTCTTATTGGAATGGATATCTTAGTTTAGCCTTTAAACTTGTGATCATCAGAATTTTCTTTTACTCGTAGTCACTTGATTATTCTTGATATCTGAGAAGTTTTTTAGAATTGGTTCTTGACTCCCAGAAAAAGATCCAGCAATTATATAGACAAAAGTAGGAATGTTGAGCATTAATAACCCAATGGGATGTGATACCCTCTTTACATTGTGATGCTGACTATGTTATTATTATAATGTTTTAAATTATTTAAAAAGATCTTAGGATCATTAAGTTTTGATAGACAAAAGGCTTAGTTGGGAGGTCACATACTGTACCCCTAATCCAGGAGGGATATCTTGAATTGAGTCAAAAAAGGGAACTGGTTGGAATGTAAGTGAATCAGTACAAATTTGTTACTACTTCCTAAAAATATCCTTATAAATGCTATATGAATATTTATTGGTCAAGACAGTCATCTTTTATCATGCAAAAGGATAATATTATATTTACATTTGTTACATTCCCCCCAAATGAAGTTAGAGTGTCTATTAAATAGAATCAAACTGCAGAAATGGAAAATAAATTAATTCTGTCTGAGTTATTTTTTAAATTTTCAAGTGGTCTTCATCAGTAAGAGGCTTTTTTTAAGGGATTATTGTAGAAATACTTTTTATATATACTTTTTACTTAATTAGGCTGAACAGGTGTTATTAAATGCAAAATAAATCCTTTTGTGTTTTTTTCTTTAAGATGTCTTTTCTAATGATTTTTATTATTCCTTTTTCTAACATGATTTGTTTTCATAGACTGTGAAATTATTTGATGACATGATGTGTGAATTAACCAGTCAAGCCAGAGAACTTTCAAGCCAAAATTTAGAAATCCAGACTACTCTAAGGAATATTTTGCAAGTAAGTCAAATGTATTAGAAAGGGGGAAGAGAGAGAAGGATCTTAAAGTATGAGAATTTTTATACTGTTATTGGTTAGCCATGTATGCTGGAATTAAATTTATGGATTTAAAGATATGAATACAGAAACATGAATTCTGTATTTTTTTAATATAATTTCATGCTGAGTAAATATCTGAATTTTGATAAGAAAACAAATCCTCACAATAGCATGCCCCACCCATAATTTCAAGACATATGTAAAGGGATTTTGACATGAGGAATGAAGAGGCTGACACAGAGTCTATGCCAGGGGACTGAGGAGCTCAGGGAGGAGTCCTCTCCACCAAACCTTCGTTCATATTATTATAAAACAGGAAGAAGTAGATAGAAGCTGCTTATCAGACATCAGCACTGATAGGGAAGATGTGGAGAAGATCAGATAGACTGTCTCTACCTTGTTTTTGCAAAACCGCAGACCTTGAGCACGACCTTTTACTCCAACATCAAGAAACCTTTGGAATCTAGAGAATCTTTACCATAATCTTTAGGCCTTCAGACCTCACATATACATTGTCTCTTGGAGGTCAGTGCTCTGGCCTCCTGGGAGTACACTACTCATGTGCCATTCTTGTGACTCTTTAGGTCTCTTAAGGAGAAAGTAAGCCTTTGCTGAAGCTCAGGGCACAGTTTTCCCTACTCATATGTGTATGACATCTGCCATGTGCTTTAAAGTTTGGGTTAGGGTTCTAGATGACTAGATAGTTATTTCAATATTTGTAATTCTGACAGACTGAAGTTTTGTGAAAATAAGAATGAGGTGTCTGTTTTGTTCACTGCTATATTTGTAGCACCTAGTGTATTGTCTGATACTTTTTCAGTGCACAAAAAGTATATTCTGAATGAAACTTCTGTCCTTATTTCCAGACAATGGTGCAGCTCGTAGGAGCTCTTACAGGATGTGTTCAGCATGTCTGTGCTACACAGGAATCCATTATTCTTGAAAATATCCATAGTCTTCCCTCCTCAGTTCTTCATATAATCAAAAGTACATTAGTACATTGTAAGGTGAGTAAAGGTCAAAGTGTAGTCTAAATGCCCTATAATCAATGAGCAAAAGGGTTGTATAAAATGTCTGTACAAGATTTTACACTGTAGCCTATATTATTGGACTAGACTTTTCCAGAGAACAAAGAGCATGTGTGTAAATAATTGTTTCAAAATAAGTAGTTTTAAGGACGTAATAAAAAATGGCCTTTTGAGAGTTTTGGTTTTATCCTATTTCCCCTCTATAAACAAGTGATAAGGATTTGTCTTGAGTTATAGCAATCCTGAAATTGTTCTGTTTTATGGTGTTGGTGACTTGATCAATCACCTTAATTATTAGGTACCAGAACTTCCTTTTATAAAGGGAAGTTAACAGGCCAAGTGTGGTGGCTCATGCTTGTAATTGGCATTTTTGGAGTCTGAGGAAGGATTGCTTGAGACCAGGAGTTTAAGACCAGACTGAGCAACACAGCAAGACCCTGTCTCAAAAAAAAAAAAAAAAAATTAGCTGGGCATAGTGGCATGTACCTGTAGTTCCAGCTACTTGGGAAACTGTGGCAGGAGGATCACTTGAGCCCTGGAGTTTGAGGCTGCAGTAAGCTATGATCACAATGCTGGGCTCCAACATAGGTGACAGTGAGACCTTGTCTCTAAACATAAAGAAATAAAGAAAGGGAAATTAATCCTTATTTAGTCCATGTCTACATTTAAGAGGCAGCTTTAAAGCACAAAAGCTGGCCTAGAATTTGTGGAGCACAGGAAATTTTAGTATTTATCAGGTGAATGAAAATCACTAATGCTTCTCTTTGGTGATAGGGTGCTAATTTGTTGGTTGAATGCCAATTGGTTGGGTGAGTGAAAATTACTAGTTAATTAATGTCTCTTTTTGGTGATTGGATGGTAAAATGTCATGCCCTGACGTACATTACCTCCTTTTTTGTTCTAGCATAATCGTGAAAGCCAAAAATCTTATTTTATACATGCTTGCATCTGTCAAAGTACAATATATGCTATAATGGATGTTCAGTAAACATGTGTTTAGTGAATGCATATGTAATTTCATTAAATTTGTGATCTCTAATAGTATGAGTTAAAGTAAATTTGGCTCTTGAGCTTTTTATGATTTGTTTTTTCTCTCATTTTTATTTGTGATCAGAATAGCGAATCAGTGTATTCTGGGCGTTTACACCTAGTTTCAGATCTTCTCCAGGCTCTTTTCAAGGAGGCCTATTCTCTTCAAAAGCAACTAATGGAACTATTGGACATGGTTTGCATGGACCCTTTAGTAGATGACAGTGATGATATTTTGAATATGGTGATGAGTAAGTGAAGAAAACTTTGTGCTCAGTATATGATATGTATGATGATTATAAATCTTACATAGGTTAAACTTGTTGTAATGATTTATGTTATCTTAATCACCATGCATAACAAATAATTTAACTTTTACCAAATAAATTTTTAATCTTTTAAATTTTGGAATTTTCACAAAATTGAAAAATCAAAATTGATTTTTGGTGCCTTAATTTAGATTTGCATATTCAGTTAATGTTCATAGTTGATAATTTCCCCACAAAAATTCACAAAGAAAGGTATGCAACCTTATATTGTGTAAAGTTGTCCATATTCTAAGACAGTAGATTCCAGATTTTAACTATAACCCATAGAAATGCATTTTACATTCATTTTCAGAATGCAGAAAAATATGTGTGTATATGTATGTCTGTGAATGCATTTATACCCACTTTATATATAATAATGAAGTAATAATGAAATCATACCCCTTTTACATGTGATGCCCTCTGTACTATACATGTATCTCATTTTTAAAGAACTGCTGATTATAGCCTACTTGGTTCATTTCATCACTTATTCATAGATTATGTCCCAGAGTTTGAAAAACAATATATATAAAGGCAAAGGTTGTGTTCATAACTTTGGTATAAAAAGAGAAGTTAGTTTTATATAGTTTATCAGATACTTATTGCTCTGTAACAAACTATCTCTAACATCTATTGCTTAAAAACAACCACGATTTTTTTTTTTTGGCCCGGGCTGGGTTTCAACCTGCCACCTCCAGCATAATGGGGCCAGTGCCCTACTTCTTTGAGCCACAGGCGCTGCCCAACCACGATTTTATTTATTCATGATTCTGAGTGTCTGCAGTTTAGGGTGGGATCAGCTGTTCTCTGTTCCACATGGTGCACCCAGCTCACCCATGTGTTTGTGGTTAGAGACTTCACTCTCTTGTCTTGACAGAGGCAGAAGTACTGAGAAAGCCTTAGGTCATCTAGTAGACCAGTCCTGGCTCAGTCACCTGATGGTGGTGTCAGGTTTCCACTAGCAACAAGAGAGAACATATCCCAACATGCAAGCACCTTTCAAGATTCTCTTTGCCTCAGTTTTATTATTGTGCCTTTGGCCAAAGCAAATCACAGGACTAAGCTTAGATTCAGTGTGTAAAAGTATCTGAAAGGGGGCAGTTATTGTGGTAGCCATTTTTACAAATAATCTACCAGAGGCAGAGTAAAAGCCTTGCATGGATACTGTGTAAATTAGTTGTAATTGTTCTTGTTAGATTTCTTTCCTGGGTGGTTTATTTTGTCATGTTGGATTAGAATTATATCTATAGAGTATTTCTATTATAATGAGATACAACTTCTATTCCACTAAACCTTGGTTTTATTAGGTATAGGGTGGGTATAAACTTTAAAAAATTTTTTTTCATAATTTATAAAAATTTAAAAGCATTGTACTTAATTTCAGTAATTATTTTGATGCAATTACTTTCAAACTGCTTTACCTCTTTTAATTCAATCAAATGTTGAGATTGTTCAATAGATACTTTAAAATGTGGGAGAATCCCTGTGACATTTGAATGCCCTAAAAGTTTTGTTACTTTTCTTTGTAGTTATTCATTCATTGTTGGATATCTGCTCTGTTATTTCCAGTATGGACCATGCATTTCATGCCAATACTTGGAAGTTTATAATTAAGTAAGTGTTTTTTCATTTTTTTTATACTATGTTTTCCATATCCCAAAATCTTAATTATTCATTTTTTTAATTGGATTTGAAACATTTTGTGTGGATATGTATGTTTACTGACATTGCTGTCTGTAAACCAGATTGGGCTTCTTTACCTTTCTGCCCCTAAAATTAAAAAAAGAGTTCTACCTAGTTAGCTAATACTTCTGAACTAATAGGTCATGGGCCAGACTAAACTTTAAACTCTTGCCTGATGCTATTATGAGTTAGCCAGCTGTCAAGTATCCCATTTCTAGGCTTAGAGAAATTAGTAACTATAGTTAAAGCTGAATATTATCCCTTCATTGTGTACTTTTGAGTTATTTAAAATTAATTCCATTTATAAAACAATTTTAACTTTCTGAAACCACAGTATTATGAAGGGCTACTACAAAGAGCCCTTCATCAGATTCTTAGAGGTAGAAGGAGATGAGCTGAGATCTAAAAGTGGTTAAGAACCTCTACTTTAGGCTCGGCGCCTGTAGCACAGTGGTTACAGCGTTGGCCATATACACCAAGGCTGGCAGGTTCAAACCCAGCCTAGGCCAGCTGAAAAATGACAACTGCAACAAAAAGTAGCCAGGCATTGCGGCAGATACCTGTAGTCCCAGCCATTTGGGAGGCTGAGGCAAGAGAATCGCTTAAGCCCAGGAGTTTGAGGTTGTTATGAGCTGTGATACCATAGCATTCTACTGAGGGTGACATAGTGAGACTCTGTATCTCAAAAAATAAAAAAACCCTCTACTTTATACACATGCATGGCTGGTCAGTGGGTCAGTGTAATACTTTCAACTCTTAGGTGCTTTTTTTGCACCATCAAGACATTAAGTTGCCAACAAATAATAGTGCAGGAGTTAGGACTGTCACCTCAGAGCTTGTACTGCATGTGCTTATATCCATTTTGAACTCACTCCTGAAACTTTGGGAAATTTGGTTAATTTTTCTGAACCTGAGATTGCTCATCTGAAAATGGAAATAATGATAACATTTTCTTGATAGGGTTGGAGTGAGAACACAGATTGTCAGTTGACATGCTTGGAACCATACTTGACACATAGTGCTCCATGAATTAGCTGCGTCATCGTCAAATATCTTCTACTCTTGCCCCTTTCCAGTTCATTCTCTAACCAATGTTCAAAGTGATCTTTTAAAAAAGTAAATCAGGTCATGTCACTCTACTGCTTAAAGTCCATCCCATTTTACTAAGAGTAACAACCTAATCCTCTGTGGACTCTTTCTCCTTTCTCATGCTGTTCTCTCCCCGCCCTTCCTTCTTTAAACATACCGTTGACCAGTTTGATGGAAGTATTTCAGATTGCATGTGAAAACCCCACACTGTACCCCAGAAGTGCATTAATGTACATAGTTACCATTCAATAAAAAAAAAAAGAAAAAAAAAAAGAAACATACCAAGAGACTCTCCTGTCCCAGAGTCTTTTCCTGGCCTTTCCCTCTGCCTAGGAGGCCTCTCTCCCCTACTCTGCACCTTGCTAACTCCTGCTTGTTTCAGTTGTCAGCTTAAGTGTTGTGTCTTCATGATAACGTTCTTTGATATCCTCACCCTAAGGACGAGTTAGGTTAAGCTTCTTTGTTGTAACAAAGAAGACTTTTCCATCTTAGCGTTAGTCACAACTGTGATTAATTAATTTTCACAATTACTTCTTAATGTTCTCTCATGCTAGACCACAAGTTCTATGCAGATAGGGGAGAGAGTATATTCATTTGATTTACTTCTTTATCCCAAGGGCCTGCCAGAGTGCCTGGCATGTGGTAAGAATTCAATTAATATTTTACTCACAGAAATAACAACTTAACTTATTTAAACAAACATAGCTGCTTCAGAGGTAAAGTTGGTACATCTTATTTATACCACATCTAACGCCAGGATATAAGGTCAGACAATTAAGTTCAAGAACTCATTCTAGAAAAAGTGCTACATACCTCACTGTGGAATATCACTATGGTCACCAAATGGCCGAGGGGAGTACCACCTTCAGAGGAGACTATAGTGATATTTTGCAATGAGGTATGTAGCACTTTTTCTAGGATGAGTTCGTGAGCTTAATTGTCCAACCTTGTATATGATACATTGTGATTTTTTTATATTGTTCTATAAGGTAGATATTTTTATGGTACTGAGTTACTCGATGAGTTATTTGTAGTGATTGTATTGTTTTCTTTTTATCCATTTAGGCAGAGCCTTAAGCACCAGTCTGTTTTAAGGAGCCACTTGAAACACAAAGATATAATTACTAGCTTGTGTGAGGACATTCTTTTCTCCTTCCTTTCTTGTCTACAGTTATGTGAGCAGATGACCCAGTCAGATGCACAGGTAAAATATGATCGAATAACACTCTAAATAGCAGTTCTTACTTTTCTTGGCAATTACTAAATCTCATTTGAATGCCTGAATCATTCTATTTAAGAGGACTTTAATTTGGGTGTTTATTGGTTAATTACAGCTCATAATAACTTTTCACTTAGAACATTAGTAGATTCCTAGCTGCTCTCATCGTCTCATTATTTTCCTGTCCTACCTCTTTACATTCTAACTGGTTGGTCAAGGCATTCTTCTTAGAATCCTTTCATTCTTTTCTGCCCTAGAACAAAAAGCTAATTCCTTTATCTCATATTTACTTAAGGTCTTCCTAGTATAGCCACAATCAAGCTTTCTGTCTTTTTTTTCACCAATGCAATGCAATTGTTAGTGAAAATAGCATGCTTATGTATGTAAGTGTGTGTGTTTTACTTTTAAAATGCTCATATATACTTATGTTTATTTTTATTTCAAAAGTTATAGTGTTGAATTGGCACCTGCTTATGAAACACAGATTACATTCTAAAAATTTGTTTGTAATGTGATCACTGGTTATGAATTATAGCTCATTTTCCTCTCCCTGTGTTATACTGATACATAGTACCTTTTGTTCTCAGCATAGCCTCCTAATTTTATTTAACTCATAGTGGCCCTAAATTACAGAATTTATAGTACTCAGGATCTTACAGTTTATGTGAGAAAATGAATATTTCTGCTTAGAAAAGCAGATTAGTAGATCTGTAAGCTGATAGAATTTCTTTGTACCTGTGCTCTTCCCTGTGATTGCTGGGGGTGTGGAGGTATAGGGATGCATCCAGTCTGAGAACTGGTAGCAGCTCCTGGAGCAGGGATGCTCTGCCAGACCCTGGAAGAACATTGAAAGGAGCTCTGAAAGTGGGAGGAAATGAGAAGCTTTAGCAAGGGGCTAACCGGTTTGCTTTTTGCTTCTCTTTCTTGTTTGTCTTCCACTTATATCCTTTCTTTTTCTTTCTTTTTTGTCCCCATGTTCTCCATGTACACTTTCTGATTCCCCTGTGCTGAAAGGAGGAGTTTGGTTGGGTGTCCTATGCCAATGGCAGGAAGTTTGTTCCCTTCTTCACCTTTATCCGACACATCTGTATCCTCAGCCCCAGCCACCTCTTTTTTCAGTTTCCTTCTTGCTTATCTTGACACCACACACTTGTCAGCTTGTACTTGTAGAGTGAAATCAGATTCCTGGGCTGGAGTAAGATGAGGAAAGCTGAAACAACAGTATAGTTTATAGTAGCAAGAAAAAAATAAAGTCTGAGGTGTGCCTGGCCAGGATGCTATTTGTACTTAAACTACATATTAGTTTAGCTTATGTTAGCTGCTTGTAATAAGAAAATCAGATAATTTAAATTGAAAATTATCCTAATTGTCTTAGAAAAATGCTCATGTTTTTATTCATTTGTGCAAATTGGTTCTGATCAGTGTGGCCATCTCTGCTCACTGTCCACTGCCTGAAATGGGGCTTTGAGATGGACTGCATAGTTGCTCTAGGCTTAACTCTGAATGCTTACTAGCAGCGCCCTCTGCTGTTCACTATTGATGTTTATTTAGGAACCTTTTCCAAGCAGTTTTTACTGCATGTCTTAATCCATTAGAGCTATGACAAAATACCTTATATTGGGTAATTTATAAATAATTTAAATTTATTTCATACAGTTTGGAGGCTGGGAAATCCAAGATCTAGGTGCTAGCAGATCAGCACCTTCTTGCTGCATTCTGACTTGGTAGAAGAGGGAAGGCAGCTCCTTCCAGCCTCTTTTGTAAGGGCACTCTTCCTATCCATAAGGTCAGAGCCTCATGACTTAATTGCTTCCCCAAAGACCCCCACCTCTAAATAGTATCACATTGGGTATTAGGTTCCAATATATAAATTTGGGGGGATACCAACATTCAGACCGTAACATCTTGCTTTCAAAAATATCAAAGTAAAACTACCATATTTAATTAATAGTATGCTATTAGGTGGCACCTGTGGCTCAGTGGGTAGGGCACCAGCCCCATATACGCAGGGTGGTGGGTTCAAACCCGGCCCTGGCCAAATTGCAACAAAAAAAGCCGGATGTTGTGGTGGGCGCCTATAGTCTCACCTACTTGGGAGGCTGAGGCAAGAGAATCACCAAAGCCCAGGAGTTGGAGGTTGTTGTGAGCTGTGTGACGCCATGGCACTCTACCAAGGACGATAAAGTGAGACTCTGTCTCTACAAAAAAAAAAAAAAAAATAGTATGCTATTTATGGAGGCATGTGGATGTATTGGTCCCTCTATTAGTCTGGGATTCTATGACAAATTGCCACAAACTGTTTTAGCTTAAAACAACAGAAAATTATTCTCTTAACATTTCTGGAGGCAGACATGCACAGTGTGTCATTAAAGCCACATTCTCTTGAAGTCTGTGTCATACCTTTTTTAGTTTCTGGTCTCACTGAAAGTCCTTGGCATTCCTTGGCTTGTAGCTGTTTAACTCCAGTCTCTGCCTTTTTTATCACATGGTGTTTTCTCATTGTGTCTTCACATCTTTTATAAGAGCACCAGTTATATTGATTAAGGATACACCTTACTCTGTCTAGTGTAACTGTATCTTAATTATTTATTAAGATGTCTGCAATGATGCTTTTTTTCCATATAAGGTCACATTGTGAAGTATTGGGAGTTAGAACTTCGACATATTTTTATGAGGATACAGTTCAACACACAACAGCCCCTAAAATTGCTAAAATATTCTCTATTATTAAGTCTTGAACTTGGTTTCAAAAGGAGAATGCTGTATCAGATTTCTTAACACAGAGTTTTTTTAGCTACCAATTATTTTATTTTTCTATAAACAGAGAAATTTATTTGTATGCCCCTTAAATATAATTTAATGTTTAATATTACTTATAAACTTTTGTTTTTAAAATGCTTGTAGAAATGTGTATTATTCAGGAAAAAACATGTTACTGGATATTCCCCAAATCATCACCATATGTAGGAAAAATGGGAAATTGTAGCTCAACGTACCTTTGTATGGTGATGACTTTTAGGATATCCTGTAGTGTATCTGTTGCCTATATTTAGAGTTAGTGCCTGCTACATTTAGATTTATTAGTATTGTAATAATTTAAAGAAAGAAAGAATGGGTGCTCTTATTTTAAAACATTGAAAAATGGTCTTCCCTGCTTATATTCCCTTCCCTTCTTGACATTGGGATACATTTAGACAGTTGAGTAAATCAAGATAGGACTGTTAATGTACTTGTGTTATTCACTTGCTTTTTTTTTTTTATTTGCTTTTCGAAGAGCAAATAGAGCTTCTAGTAAACAGTAGGCTATTAATATTTAAATTTTGGTGGAAGTCAAAAGTTACTTGGGATTTTCTAATGCACAAGGTGGGTCAGCATCCCTAACTCCAAGTTGTTCAGGGGTCAGCTGTATTTAACTCTTCTCAACTTAATGGACAGCTGTTTCATTTTGGTTTTCACAATGTCAAAAATGTTGCATTGCATATCTGTGCTAGTATTTCTATAGGACATAGTTTCAGAAGTGGAATTACTATCAAAAAGTTTTAACACTTTAGCTTTTAATGACAGTGACAAGGCTGTATTATTTTATGCTCCCACCAATGATAAAAGAAAGTGCTTGTTACTTTTCTTCCTCACCAGCTCAGTCTTTTTAATCTCTGCTAAGCAATTAACCCTCAATCTTTCTGCCTTCCAGAAGATATTTCATTAGGTTGTAATTTGGGTTTTTTCTGTTATTAATTTATTGGCAGTTTTTCTTTTCTATCTGCCTTTTCATGTCTTTTACCTGTTTTCTTTTATACATCATTCTTTTATTGATTTATAAAACCCTTTTCTTTTGACTATCCTTTAACTCTACCCTCATATAAGAAAGAAGAATAAGGTACTTCACTTTCAGAGCAACTGAGAAGGATCACCTCTTTTATACTTACATGTTAAGATTTGTTTTCAGTGCTGTAGAATTGAGGTTTTGAAACACCTCATTATCATTTCTTTGTATTGCTCCTAATAACAGTTTGGAGAAGAATTATGTTTTCTTAGAAATTTTTTTTGTACTGTGTTTGAGAAGTCTTTTTGGAAAATATTGTCTCATTTATAAGTTTAGGTAATTTCATACTCTTATTTATTGTACTGTCTTTTTTCTTTTTTGGGACAGGATAATGCTGACTATAGATTATTTCAGAAAACACTCAAATTGTGTCGTTTCTTTGCCAACTCACTTTTGCACTATACTAAGGTAAGGCTTTATATACATTACTTTGTTTAATTTAGTCCTCTCAAAAGCTTAGATAGTATTATTCCCATCTCGCAGAATAGAAAGCTCAATCTCAGATAGCTCACATCAAGTCAAGTGGCTAGAAATCAGTAAGGCTGGGAGTACAGGTGTGATTTCTCCATTTTTTATGTTTAGACTATCTTTTTGAAAGTAAAATAAGTAGTTTATAATATTGTGTTATAAGATACAGAAAAGACTCGGTGCCTGTAGCAGAGTGGTTACGGTGCTAGCCACATGCACCAAGGCTGTTGGGTTCAATCCCATCCCAGGCCAGCTAAACAACAATGACAAGTGCAATAACAACAGAAAAATAGCTGGGCGTTGTGGCTGGTGCCTGTAGTCCCAGCTACTTGGGAGGCTGAGGCAAGAGAATCGCTTAAGCCCAAGTGTTTGAGGTTGCTGTGAGATGAGATGCTACAGCACTCTACAGAGGATGACATAATGAGACTCTGTCTCAAAAAAAAAAAGAGAAAAGAAAAAAGATACAGAAAACACCTAATGACCAATTTTTTAAAAAATTAAATTCTTCTGATAGAAAAGAATTGGTTTTTTAAAAACAATGTAGTTAGAGATAATTTTGCCTCCTACACACCAAGCAAGTATCAGACGGGTAACTATCTAGTGCCTTTGGTGTACTTTCCACAGTCTGTCTGCTACTGGAATATACCCTCTGCAAGCTTCAGGGAACCCAGAGTCAAAAGCAGCCAACTACTCTACGTGGCAGCTGCCCAGAAAGAAAGTATGCCAACCAGGGAATTTTGACTGTAATAAACAGTCATCAGAGATCCTTATCTTTTCCCCAAAAGGAGGAAGACAAGATCAAAAACAAATTCAACATAGATAATAGTTTTTCAGAAATTACCAATATCTATTATTGATATTGTTTCTTTCTCATGTTGCTGTAAGCAATCTCTGTTCTTCTCTCCAAATAATCTGCTTTGGCAACTTAACCTATTCTATTCTTAATTATCACCATTATTCTGATGACTACCAAATATGTAAGTCTCTTTAAATTATGAGTTTTCAAGGTTCAAACAGTGACTGTGGAGAACAATGAGGCATATTTACTTAGCCTCATCCTCCTTTTCATTCTCATGTAAGAATTATTTTTATTGGCACACATTCAGGATTGATTTTATTTTGCTTGCCTTTATGAAAGGATATGTGTTAGAAAGTCATGTTGTAGCAGAGAATGAATAGAGTTGTTTTGTTTTAGGAATTTCTTCCTTTCCTCTCTGAATCTTGTGGTACCTTGCACCAACTCTATCTTCAGATACACAGGTAAGAAGAATGCCATGTTATTAAAAGGTAACAATGCGATTTGTAGCATGCATAACTTATGTACATATTATTTTAAAAGAAAACATCAGAGAAACTTTTACTAAATTTTTTTCTGTTTGCTTAAAATAATTGGAAATGGAACCTTTTGAAGGATAGATTCCACCTGAGTTTTATTTGTCTTTTCTTAACTAGGACCTTATACATGAACGATAAATAATGGATATGGTGATACATACCAATGCAAAAAAAGGTGGTATATTCATGTATGTGTTTTATATTGGGATTTATAAAATCTTTATTTTTATTTTCTGTGTGGTTTAAGTCAAGCATTAAACTCCATTTCAGAAAAAAACTGAATTACAGAAAGATATCATAATTTAGATAGGTGCTAAGTGTTTTTTAAATTGTTCGTTAAAACTTATAATGAGCCCTAGATTTGACACTAAAACATTGGTCAGCTCATTATTTAGCAGTCCTATTATATTTCCCAAATTCATTTAATCTTCTAGACAACTTTTTCTCACTTCTCCCTTTTCAGACTTCTTGTATCTCTAACACCTCCAAATTCCTTATTGTCAATTCATAGTCCCCTTTCCTATCCTGCTGGAAAAAGGAAAGCAGTAAGAAGAGAGCTGCTGTGTGCTCTCTCGAACAACACATCGACTCTGCCTCCTGCTCCACCTGTGTCTAGGTGTGAGTGTTCCCCTTTCCTCCAGGAACAAGCCGTGTGCCTGAGGCTAGCTACCATTTGTGGATTGGATTTCAGCCTCTGTCCCTGGCTTAGGGACCTCAGTCCAGTAGCTCCTCCTTTTCCTTCTTGCTTTATTAATCTTCCCTCCCTAGTAGATCATTCTCATGAGTATAGAAACTTGCTGTTATTTTTCCCATCTTAAGAACAATACCAAATGATCTCTGAGTCTCCATCCTCCTCCAAATACCCTCCAATTTTTCTCCCTCTCTACAGCAAAATTCCTAAAAACCAGGCCAGATATGGTGGCTCGCACCTGTAATCCTAGCAGTCTGGGAGGCCAAGGCAGGTGGATTGCCTGAGCTCGGGAATTGAAGACCAGCCTGAGCAAGAGCAAGACTCTGTCTCTAAAAACTAGCCAGGCATTGTGGTGGACGCCTGTAATCCTAGCACCTTGGGAAGACAAGGCTGGTGGATTGCTTGACTTTAGGAGTTCAAGACCAGCCTGAGCAAGAGTGAGACTTCATCTCTACTAACAATAGGAAAACCTAGCTGGGTGCTGTGGCAGGCACCTGTAGTCCCAGCTACTTGGGAGGCTGAAGCAAGAGAATCACTTGGGCCCAAGAGTTAGGTTGCGGTGAGCTGTGATGCCATGACACTCTACTGAGGGTGACAGAGTGAAACTCTGTCTCAAAAACAAACAAACAAAAAAAACGAAACTCCTAGAAAGCATTATCTGTTAAAGCTGTTCCACTCAGGCTTTTTGAGGTGTTACTTCGCTTCAAAACAGATCTTGTCAAGGTCATCAGTGGCTTCTGTGTGGCTGCACCCCCTGATGAGTTTTGAGTCCTCATCCTGTGTGACCTGTCAGTGGGGCTCGCGCCTGCCTTTTGAATACCTTTTTTTGTTAGCTCCCAGGACATGGGTCTCTCCTACTCACTGCTCCTCAGCCTTCTCAGTAGGTTCCTCCTCTTCTCCCCAGCCTCAGTCCTCGGGCTTGTTCTCTATCTACTGTCATTTAGTCTCGGGACTTTAAATTTATATGTCTCCTCTTTAGTGTCTAACTGCCAGTCAGGACATCTGCACTTAAATTATCCCAAAGTAGCTGCTGATTTCCTCCCACGAAACTCTGAAGAAGCTCTGTTCCTCTTGTAACTTCTTTTTTTGGGTTTCATTAGCAACTTTGTTCTTCAAATTGATGAGGCCAGAAAACCTTGCCTCCTTAGCATATTCTGCAATATCATAGTTATATATGTTTAGATACATGTGCACACATGGAGAATCTAGCCATTCTTGTCACCTGAACTGTTACCATCTGGTCCTGTCCACTATAATGCAAAAGACCATCCTCCTTTCTGTCTTTCTACCCTTGCCTCACTCTATTCTATTCTCCATATAGTAGCCAAAGTGATTTCTGTGACTTCGCAAATGACTTTCATTAACAGACCTTCCTATCCACATTTTTGTCTTTTTCTTTGTAACACTTTAAAACATCAGCTCTATTATGGAATTTCTTGCCCACTTGTTTATTAACTGACCCCTTTCATTAGAATTTGAATTCTGTAAAGATAGTGACTTTGTATATTCTTTTTTTTTTTTATTTTTGAGAGTCTCAAAAGATAGTGACTTTGTATATTCTCTTTTTTTTAAATTTTATTTTTGAGAGTCTCACTTTGTCATCTTCAGTAGAGTGCTATGGTGTCACAGCTCACAGCAACCTCAAAGTCTTGGGTTCAAGAGAGTCTCTCGCCTTAGCCTCCCAAGTAGCTGGGGCTACAGGCACCCACCATAACATCTCGCTATTTTTAGAGACTGAGTCTTGCTCTGGCTCAGGCTAGTCTCGAACTCCTGAGCTCAGGCGATCCACCCACCTCAGCCTCCCAGAGTGCTTGCATTACAGGTGGGAGCCACCACTCCTGGCCTTGTATATTAGGTTTAGTAATGTATCACCCATTCCTGGAATAGTGTATGGTATATATACATAGGCATTTAATAAACATTTGTCAAATTAATCTAAAAGTATTATCATTTAAAAATTATTTGCATCAATACTCAGTAGTTGTAGTTCAAATCTACAGAATCTCATTACCTGTATTTCTTTCACTTTAGTTAAAATTTAATCTTCACAATAACTTGAAATCAACTTTGCAAATGAAGAAACTGAGGCTCAGGGAGGCAAAAGAATGAACCAATGTTATATAATAATTGATAGATAGATTGGTGTTTTTTTCATCCCACATTTTAAGTGCATCCTTTTAAATGTTGTTATTTCCTGCTAGATAGCATTTTCTCATGTATTGTCAAGTTTACTACACTTAACATGACAAAAAATTTTGAATATGTATCTTATTTCAGGTAGGTTTTGATTGAAGTTTAGTTTAAACCCCAGTTACTGAGATATTTCCATGAAAACATCTTTCATCCTCTTTTGGTGTTAGTATACAGTCTATTTCTTATAAAACCCTTGCTTCTGAGAAACTTGAGTATTCATAGTAAATTCAGCATTCTACCTATTTCTAAACTTTAATTACAAGTAATTAAGGTGCTGGGTGTGGTGGCTCACACCTGTAATCCTAGCACTCTGGGAGGCTGAGGTGGATGGATCAGCCTTGAGCCTGAGTGAGACCCCCATCTCTAAAAATAGCTGAGCTTTGTGGCCGGTGCCTGTAGTCCTGGCTCCTCGGAAGGCTGAGGTAAGAGGATCACTTGAGTCCAAGAGTTTGAGTTTGCTGTGAGCTATGATACCATGGCACTCTACTGAGGGCAACAAAGTAAGACTCTGTCTCAAAAATAAAGAAGTAGTTAAAGAAGAATTAGTCAAAAATATCTTTTCTTTAAATCTAGTTGATTTTAAGGTTTATGTTTTTATAGTATCTTTAAAATGGCATTGTCAGAATGGTATTAAAATGACTCAAAGCAATACTAAAGATTTCTGTAAGATATGAGCTTTTCATTTTATAGAATTCTAGTCATATCCTGTAGTTCAAAGGACTTAATAAAATTTTGGTGTCAGTCCATTACTTTGAAGTTTGTTTTATAAAATGCATGCTACATATATATATATATATATATATATACACATATATATACTTTTACTAGTAGAACTTCAGTTTATAGTATTCTATCTAAAATTGGAAGACAGCTATTAGTGACTGAGTTTTTTTTTCTCTCCCGTTCTAGTAAGTTTCCACCAAGCCTATATGCTACCAGGATTTCTAAAGCACAACAGGAGGAAATAGCGGGTACTTTCTTAGTGACATTGGATCCACTCATAAGTCAACTGCTCACATTCCACCCTTTCGTGCAGGTGGTTTTAGACAGTAAATTAGGTAAGTTTCAAAACAATTAATGTTAAATCATCTCCTATTAGTTATGACATGTTAGAGATACAGTAATTTTTCCCTAGTGTTCATTTATTTTTTTAGAATTTTAGAATTTTTATTTAAAATTTCTCTTCTTTTCTTTTTGGCAGGGGCGTGGGGGCTCAAATGATTCTCTTGCCTCAGCCTCTCAAGTAGCCAGATGTAGTCTCATTTTGTCACCCTAGGTAGAGTGCTGGGCATCTTAGCTCACAGCAGTCTCAAACTCTTGGGTTTAAGTGATTGTCTTGTCTCAGCCTCCCAAGTAGCTGAGATTTTCATTTAAAAATTATTAAATAATTAAAAATTATTCCTCTACTTTCTACATGTATTTCTGCTGAAAATATTTACTGAGTTTGTTTTTATAGATTTGTTGTAGCTTAATGTGTTTTTATTATCTATAAGACTTGCCATGTGAACTGCAGTTCCCACAGTGTCTCCTCCTGGTTGTTGTCATGGACAAGCTGCCCGCTCAGCCCAAGGATGTGCAAACCCTGTGGTGCACAGAAAGCCAGGTCTCAGAAACTACAACCAGGTAGTAAACATGTTTATATCCACTTAGATTACTCATGGTTTAGAACGCCCTCTTATTTGTGATAATCTTGGAATTAAGTGTTGTGTCGGATATTACTGTTTCAGTGAGAGATGTACTTCATTAAAAAAACATTGTTATTGTGTGGACCTCAGATACATTGCTATTCTACAAAAATAAATAAATTTAAAATAAATAAATCTATATAAAAATATTTTAATTTTGTTTGATAGTTATTGCCTAATAGTCAGCATTATAAACATTGACTATAACAGAGTAATATTGAAAAATAAGTGCTGATAAATAAAATGCTAGATACTAAAAGGTATCTGTTGGGAAATTTCATTTGTAATCCTATTCCTTGTCAACACTGTAGTCCAGGCTCTAGTTACTTATTCACTGGATTACTGTGAGTAACATACAGCACAGGTTTAAACTAATTTTTCACTTCTCTTGGTCCATTCTATGTGCCACAACTGGATTAGCCTAAACCTGGCTCTGAGCTTTTCTATTCTTCAGCTCAAAAACTGGAGCATAATGTCAGAACTCCTCAGCTTTGTATTTAAAGCACATCCCATTCTCTTCCCATCTTCTGCTTTTATTTATTTTCAACATATATACCTTGCTTCTGTCAGACTGGTTATTTATGCCATTTATTCTTGCTTTGTCTTCTTTATCTATTTGTATCTTGCCTATTTTTAATTTATCATTTAAATCCTCAAATTTTTTTCAACCATTCCAATGTTAAAGTGACCCCTCCTTATCTGAACTATAGAAATTATACCATAAGTATACTTATATTCTAAAATGTTTTACATGTAGTATCAAGGTAGCACCTGTGGCTCAGTGAGTAGGGCACTGGCCCCATATACCAAGAGGGTTGTGTTTAAACCCTGCACCAGCCAAACTGCAACAAAAAAATAGCTGGGCATTGTGGTGGGCACCTGTAGTCTCAGTTACTTGGGAGGCTGAGGCAAGAGAATCGCCTAAGCACAAGAGCTGGAGGTTGCTGTGAGCTATGACATTATGGCACTCTACCCAGGGCAACAAAGTGAGATTCTGTCTCTAAAAAAAAAAAAAAAATATATATATATATATATAGTATTAAATATAGCTATTTTAGTCTCAGGTTTTTTTTTGAAGAAATATGACTTTATATAACTCAATACCATTATAAATAGTTGATAAATGATAGAAAAATATGTCCATAAAAATTTTTCCTTTAAGGAATTTCTTTGACAGTGAATGTATTTATTTCTCTATATAAATAGATACCTTAAATATTCATACATCTTAGAAACTAGTGTTGATTATACACCTGTTGAGATGTTTTGCTTTGCTAAAACAACCTTCAATGTGACATTATTATACCTGCTAATATTACATGTTATTAATTTTGTGTTCAATGTTCTTAATTTCTCTGCAGGGTATCTCTATTCAAAGCCATTTTCAGCAGTTTTGAGCAGTGTTCTGGTGAACTTTCTCTGCCTGTTCATTTACAGGGAGTAAAGAGTAAAGGGCAAGCCCAAGTGGCTGTCAGCTTGTATCAGCATGTTTGTGTTCACCTGTGTTCATTTATTGTTTCCTTTCATCCTTCACTGTTTGCTGAACTGGTAAGTATGTTACGTGCTGGGCTATGCTGAGGTTATACTTTTGCTTTCTTTTCATTTAAACTGTGATTTATATGTAGTAGAAAGTATTAATGTATATTCCTTTGAATGTCATTCTCTCAGATCGCACACTTTATCTTTTAATTTAGTTGTGTCCTAGAAAATGTTGATCTTACATTCCCATAATATTGAGATCTAAAATTTGGCTAAAATACTTATGAAAACATTTGGATGAGGTGGTATGTAAAGACAGTGTGAGAAGAAGAAAAGTGTAGAATTTTACCTAATTAAGTTTCATAAAGGAAAGAAGTAAATAGTAGTTTACTACTAGTGTGCAGTACTGAGTCTTGTATAGATCATAGGCATAATGTAGATTTTGTTTTTTAATAGAGTTGGTTCAGAAAAGAGGTTGAAAAAATTTTAGGAAAAAATTCTTAGCACATACATAAGGATCAGTATGATTTAAGATACATATACATACGTATTACACGTTGTATAGTATCTAGCACGTGGGCAGTATTAAAATATGTGAATAATTAAATGCAGAAAAGATTTATATAAGTGTATAAGTTATTTATGTTGTTTTAAAGATTTGAGGCTACTTAGAGAATATTTGGGGATCCTAGCAATTGAGTTACCATATTTAAAACCACGTGTGAATCCCCATAACCTAGCACAGTGCTTATATGAGTTCTGACAGTTAAGTTCCTAAACTCATCCTAGAAATGTGCTACATACCTCATTGCTGAATATCACTATGGTCACTTTTGAGTACTTCCCTGGGGAAGTTATGCACTGATGCCAGCACCTAGTCTACTCTTCAAAGCAGTTTTGGAACTTTTTCTGGAATAGCCATCAGATCTGTTGTTGTATTACACTTAATGTCCTGAATGTCATCAAAATGTCTTCTGTTCAATATTTCCTTTATCTTTGGGTAAAGAAAAAAGTTATTGGGGGCCAAATCATGTGAGCAGGGTGGTATTCCAATACAGTTACTTGTTTACTGGCTAAGAATGCCCTCACTGACAGTGCCATGTGAGCTGGTGCATGGCCGTGATGAGTCCACATCTTTCTCATGCCAGTGTTTTCAGTTGATATTTTCCTGTTTATTGACATTTACTTGGTCTGCTATGCTTCTTACAGCCAGCCAATGATTTTGATATACAATTTGATGAATTTTTGCAATGTTTTCATCAGTTCTGCTTGTTAATGGCCGGCTTACTAATCTCTTGATCAGTGACACTCTCTCCCCTTAGAAAATGTTTAATCCATTTGTACCTACCCTGCTATTTTCTTCATGGCATTATCACTATGAACTTGGACTAACATGTCCCTGATTTTACTTCACTCATGCCACATTCAACAAGAAATTTAATGTTTGTTTGTTGCTCTTATTCATCAAGCTTTGACATTCTTACAGTGGTACACAAAGACAGCATCAGTGAACACTACTCAGCAAGGCACCGCTATACATCAACACGAACACAGCTCTGAGACACTCATAAACAAAGGTTATGAAACCTTACCAAGTTGATTGTACAGTGTTGCTAATGTAGTTGCACAGTGGCAAGTTCACAAGCTTAATTGTCAGACCTTGAATAGTAGGTACTCAGTAAATACTGAGGGCCTGACTGTGTGTGTTCTTTCAGATGCTGAAAAGTAGAGCCTTCCCGCTAAGGATCTGTCTGATAATGCTTTATTTTATTTTGAGAAATGTGATACTAATGATAATTTATTGCGAGCCTTTAGTGTTTACATAAATTAACTTTTCTGTTTTTTATTAGGATGCTGTTCTCCTGAATGCCGTACTTAGTGCTGATATGATCACCTCTTTGTTAGCTATGGATGCATGGTGCTTTCTAGCTCGGTACAACATAACTTGCTTTTTTGGTGTTTGGATTGGTTATAAATAGTGACTGACAGTAAATGATCATGTAATTGTTAGTTAATAATTAGTTAGAAATGTTGTGTTTTGATAATTTTTTAAAGATAATTCCCCTGAATGATTTGATTGCAGATAGCACTAAATTGGGAAATGGGGTTTCCTGTTTCTTTTCTTTGGCTCAAGCCAATAGAGGAGTATTCCTTGGGTGGTGTGTATGTTGTGGTACTCTTCAGCCATGGAAATGATGGCAGTTTTATATTCTCATCAGAGTATTTAGTGCTTTATGGAAGTTAATCTCCCTGTGTTTCTGAGTAATCACATAAACCTTATTGCCTTCTCTTTGTATTACAGATATGGGACTGCAGAACTCTGTGCACACCATGTCACCATAGTGGCTCATCTGGTGAGTAGAATCACAAGGCCTGAAATACCTACTTTCCATGCATTTTCTTTGGAGGTGTGATAATATGTAAACACATAGTAGCAACAGAAAAATAAGATGGTAACTAATTTTTTTGATAGTTTCTTTGTTCTGCATAAATGCTAATGCTTTTAAGAAGAATATACTAGTGTGAAAGTGGAGAAATTTTCTCTTTCAAAATTTTATACAGTGTCAGTACTTGTTCTGGGAAAGAAAGACTAGGTTCATTCAAAATAAATTTAAATCGAAGGCAAAGTAGAAAATAAGAGTTATATGTTAGTGGCCAAGAGTTCATCTCTTTCTTCCTCTCTAATATGATTTAGATGAACTGACTCTTGATTTTCTTCTGTGTGTGTTTTTTTTTCCCTGCCAGCTGATTTGGAAGGGACTAAGTTTGATAGTGATAGGTGCACTGGCAAAAGAAGTAATGTTTTATGAATGGGTATTAGGAGAAAATGATTAATAATGATTGCTTTTTCAACATTGACTTTTTGCTTTTAAATTCTGAGATGTTTGATGTGTTTCATGTAGGATGGTTATAACCTGTTTGTTTGGACTGAATGACAGTACCTTATGATAAGAATTGATAAAAGTGGGGTTATAAAATTTTTAATGAAGCTTCCATCTTGGAGTTAGCGCCACCTCTGCACTATCATACTTAGACCTTTAAAAGTTCCATGAATTGGCTCGGTGCCTGTGGCTCAAGCGGCTAAGGCACCAGCCACATACACCTAAGGTGGCGGGTTCGAATCCCCAGCCCGGACCCGCCAAACAACAATGATGGCTGCAACCAAAAAATGGCTGGGCGTTGTGGCGGGCGCCTGTAGTCCCAGCTACTTGGGAGGCTGAGGCAGGAGACTCGCTTGAGCCCAGGAGTTGGAGGTTGCTGTGAGCATGATGCCATGGCACTCTACCCAGGGGGACAGCTTGAGGCTCCGTCAAAAAAAAAAAAAGTTCCCTGAATTGTCTTTCAGTAGTAGGATTAACAAACCAAGTTATCATCAAAATGATAATCATCAAAATGATAATTAAGAATAGAAATTATGAGTGTCTTTTTAATTATATTGTCAAAATTTCTTTCTCATTATAAAAGTAATCAGATTCAGTGAAGAAAAAAAAACTAAACGCCCCAAATTAAAAGTTAATATTATATATAATCTTCTTCCCCAGAAAGAGTTGCTATTAATATTTTGGTTTATTTCTTTGTAAAAACTAATTTTAAATCAAGCCTCTTTCCTCTCTTTATCTTTTCCTAGATAAAATCATGCCCTGGAGAATGTTATCAGTCCGTCAACCTATCAATATTGTTGAAGCGGCTCTTTTTCTTTATGGCCCCACCCCATCAGGCAAGGATATTATCTATGTCACTGTCTTTACTTCACACAGCTGCTGAGAATTGGATTCAGACTTCTTTCCTGGCTTCCCCTCTCCAACTTACTCTAAATTTAAATGCCATGAACTGAGCATAATTTTTTCAGCACTGATTGCTTGCTTATTTAAGTGGGTGTGACTTTTGATGTCCTTCAAGTTACAGATAATTATTTTAATTCCATCTTCCTGAAATATATTTCACTGAAATATACATAGTTTCCCCATACTTAAGGTACATGAAATGATTTTGTATTATAGAACTATTTATTTTTAAGAGCTATAATATTATTAACGCTCTTAATGATGTATCTTATTTTTTCATAGTGAATAAGTTGAACTTTTGGGGGAGAACTGCAAGTATGACTTGCAACTAAAGGCTTAGTTGTTTGCTATTGTGAGGAAAATAAGCTCTGCCACGGTAGAGGAGAATCTCTCCTTATGTGAACCCATATAGCTGAGTGCACACAGTCCCTCAGGCTGGTCGTGCTGGAATCCCTGCAGGAGTTATTTTAAAAACTACGGGTTCTTGGATTCTAACCTGTGAATGGAGTGGATATGAAATAGTAGGTAAGAAACTAGGCTCGGTAATTTGTTTTCCTTGTTCCTGTCATTCAGTTCCTACATGATTCCTTATGATCCAAGCATAGGAACCACTGGGTAAGTGAAGGGGATTATACTTAAGGTCCTATAGGACTTGATTTGAATCCTGGCTTACTGTGACCTTGGACAAGTCATCCTTTCTGAATCTCTGTTTCTCTGTCTGCAAAGTAAAGGATACTCATAACTATTCTGAAAATTTTGTAAAGATTTAGAGATAATATATGCAAAACAGTATAGGGCTAGGTTAAGAGGGATACTTAATTAATGCTAGGAGTTATTTCTTACTAGAATTTTTGTCCCAAGTCCAAGTCCACTCCTGCCATATAGAAGCTGGTCAGGCAATAGAGGAACTACACCTACCCCATTCTCCTCTTTCCTAACGTTATCTTCAAGGCAGAAAACACAGCAGTCCCTCCTATTTGCCCTCTAGAAAACATGTAAAGGTTGCTCACTTCCCTCTAAAACTCCAAAAGAGTTGTCTATTCACATCACTTAGAAGTGGGATTGGGAGGGAGAGGGTCCTTGCCATGGAATGTTAAGAAAGTAAATTTCCATTTTATCTTCATTTTCTTTGAAATTCTAGCTTTTTTTTTAAATTCTAACTTTTAAAATAACATAACTTACAATGAATTAGCTCTGAGTGAGGTCTAGAGGCAGGGTTCTAAATTAGATAAAGTTTAGTCTAGACTTAGAGATCTCTTACTCCCAGTTGTCTAAATTTTTCCAAGTGAGGCTAAAAGATATATAAATTATAGATAAATGAGGGGCTACTTTTAATTTGTTTATCTTCAGTTACCGAATACTGATTTCCTTTTATGAAAAAATTACTGTGATAGAATTTAAGATTAAGAGAGAAACCTGAATTTGAATACCTTTTCTATCTGAGAATCCTTGAGAGAGTTAATCATAAAATAGAGATGTTAATACTCTTAATGGCTATTAAGAAATTTGGTGAGGGCTCGGCACCTGTGGCTCAAGCGGCTAAGGCACCAGCCACATACACCTAAGGTGGCGGGTTCGAATCCAGCCCGAGCCCGCCAAACAACAATGATGGCTGCAACCAAAAAAAAATAGCCGGGCGTTGTGGTGGGAGCCTGTGGTCCCAGCTACTTGGGAGGCTGAGACAGGAGACTCGCTTGAGCCCAGGAGTTGGAAGTTGCTGTAAGCAGTGAAGCCATGGCACTCTACCCAGGGAAATAGCTTGAGCTTAGTTTTCCTGTCCTTTTTTTGTTTCTCCTTAAAAATTTATCCTTCATTTAAAAGGAAGAAGCAGGGAAATGGACATCTTTAAAACCCTGATATGGGCTAGGCACTTTAATTCATTTAGTCCTTATAACAGCCTTGTGGAATAGATAATATTGTGTCCATTTTATAGATGTAGAAACAGTAGTAGTTCAGGGAAGTTAAAGAACTTCCCCAAATTCACTTACAATAAATGACAGCTGGAATCCAAACAAAAATTCTCTTATTCCCGAGTCTATGCTCTTTCCATTGTTCCAATATTCTTTTCCAACTGTAGTATATGCAGCTATTTCAGGGGCCTCTGCTGTTTGTAGGGTGTTGAATCTACTTCCTTATTGTTTTTAACCAGAGGAAATCTCCTTTCATTGTTTTGATGTATAAAGCTTTTTCTTTTCTTTTCTTTTCTTTTTTTGAGACAGAGTCTCACTTTGTCGCCTTCGGTAGAGTTCCATGGTGTCACAGCTCACAGCAACCTCAAACTCTTGGGCTTAAGCAATTCTCTTGCTTCAGCCTCCCAAGGAGCCTGAGGACTACAAGCGCCTGTCACAACATCCAGCTCTTTTTTTATTGTTTGGCAGGCCAGGGCTGGGTTCCAACCCACCAGCTCCAGTGTATGTGGCTGGTGCCCTAGCCACTGAGCTACAAGTGCCAAGCTTGTATAAAGCTTTTTCATCAATTAATTTTTAATAACAATTTGTTGCTTAAGGTAAAAAACTTGAGTGTGTATTCCCAGCTGCTTGAGGACTGAGGCTAGAGGATCACTTGGGCCCAGGAGGTTAAGTCCAGGCTGGGTAACATAACAAGACGCTGTCTTTAAAAAGGTTAAATAAAAAATTTGGGCCCAGTGCAGTGGCTCATGCCTGTAATCTCAGCACGTTGGGAGGCTTTGGTGAGAGAATTGCTTGAGGCCAGGAATTTAAGGCAAGAGTGAGTAATAATAGCAAATCCCTATCTTTAAAAAAAAAGAGTTAAAAAGAAAAGTTAAGTGTGGTGAGGTATACCTGTAGTCTCAGCTAGTCAGGGAGGGTAAGGCAGGAGGATTACTTGAGCTCAGAACTTTGAGGCTGCAGTGAGCTACAATTATGCCACTGTAGTCCAGGCTAGGGGACAGAGCAAGACCCTGTCTGCCTGCCTGTCACAGCAGATAGCATATAATTTCTTGCTTGTTTTGACAGCTAAATATATTCTACAAAAGAAAGAAAATTGAAATGCAAATATGACATATAAGAATTTTTTTGTCAAATTGAATAGCATAATTTGGGGGAGGGAATTTGGATTTTTTTTTTTTAGTTTTTGATGAAGGAAAGTTCTCATTAAGTAGATTTTGGATATTAAAAATTGGATTATTCTGCTTACAAAAATACACTAAGACACATCTTACTTGAATTATACTTAATTTAATAATTACACCCGTGCTTTTGCATTTTTCCACCAAAAACTAATTCAATCTTTTAACTGTTTTATAGAAGTTTTATTTCCCATTTTTCTCTAATCTGTGAGACCCGCATTTTAACAAAATAGTACTTCTCTGTTAACCCATTAAGCACTTCAGATTGTTAGTTCAGAATATGGGAGAATAGGTTTACAACCACACCTTTTCTTACTTGTGGCTTACCTTTGTGAAATTAATTTATTATGTTTTCTAAAGTAGAGCAGAGCCAGCTAACCCACTTGAAAACTGAACCTATGATCTTTGCTTCTTTAGGTTTTCTGTTATGGTCAACTGAGATAGTAGTAAGCCACAAAGGTTAGCTAAATCAGTCTTGTTTGCATATTTGAGCTATTGGTTTAGACTTAACTGTATAAGAGGCTAAGTACTTAGGAAAATAATACTTAGTAGGAAAATGATAAAATATCTGATAGAACTAATAATGAAATGCATTATATAACATTTTTAGTACATTTATATTGTGTACCATTTATACATTTTTGTTTTGGAAACAAATGCAGCAAGAATAATAGTAATGTGTGTTCATTTAAGTTATGATAGTCTGGTAGTGAGTGAGTGATAATACCAGGCAATTAAAAAGCTTTCTTAAAATGTTACATACAGAAGCTAATATTTAGCTCTTCTTCATCCATTCATGACTATCTCATGTTACTTTTCTTTATTTCACAATTTATTTCAGGTAGAGTTTATACAGAAATTTTCCCCAAAAGAAGCAGAAAATCTGCCGCTATGGCAGTGTATTTCCTTCCAGGCGTTATCCGTTGAGCTCAGGAAACAAACCGTACATGAGGTCATCAGAGCAGGCATTGCAGAGTGTAAGAAATGGCTGAGCAGCAGTCGGACTTTGGGAGAACTTGAATCTCTGGTAAGATAATTGGGATTGACTTGATTTATTCACCAGCTGTTCGTTGAGCATTATTTTAGATGTTGGGGATAGGTTGTTTATAAGATGGACACGGTCTCTGCCTGCTGTCTCTATTGGAACCTAGTAAGATTGTCAGATTTCTGCATTTTAAGAGGATCTATGAGGAACTTAACTATTAATATTATCTTAATTGAAGTATAAATAGTTTTGGGGGAGACTTCCCTTTGTCACTCATGACATATTGGTACAACATGATGAAACATAAAATATTTCATTTGTCATATTTTGTTGATTTATCTATGGATAAGGCAGACATGATTCTTCTGTTTGACAGAGTACAACCCCATTTTATGTAACTTTATGTACCTTGCTACTTAGAATGTTCCCTCATAAAATAATGGGAAAACATAAAAGAGACTCAGGCTGGGCGCCCATACCTTGATGGCTAGGGCTCTGGCCACATGCTCCAGGGCTAGTGGGTTCGAAGTGGGCCCGAGTCTGCTAACCAAAAATACAGCCGGGTTGTGGCAGGCACCTGTAGTCCTAGCTACTTGGGAGGCTGAGGCAAGAGAATCGCTTGAGCCTAAGAGTTTGAAGTTGCTGTGTGCTATGATGCCATCGTACTCTATCAAGGGGGACAAAGTGAGACTCTGTCTCAACAACAACAACAAAAGACTCATCTATTATAAAAATCATGTAAATACATGATTTTTGAAAGTTGGCTGGATCTAGTACATGTAGTTGAATTCTCCAATGTTATGTTCATTTGCTCATTTGTTCACTTGTTCAACAAATATATTTTTTGAGTATTCTTATGAGCCAAGCTCTGTTCTAGGCATTGGGATATTTCAGGAAACGAAATAAAACAAACAAAAATGTATACTCTCACGGACTTACATCCCAGCTTATCAGTGGACAATAATGTAAGAAATACCAGTTTATGTTAGGAGGGGAAATATCAAACAGGGATAGGGACAGAGCATTCAAGAGAGTGGTAGCCTATTTGCAATTTTAAATTAGCAGTTCATGATTTTCTCAGGGCATAATTTCCCTACTGATTGCAAATACTCTGTTATTGTTATGTAATGGCACTTAATTATCAAGATAATTTAAAACATTTACTTATATCCAAAGGAAATTTTTATGTGCCTTTATTTTAGTTAGAAGTGGGTTATATTTGGCCAGATTTTGCATATAATGTGTACCAGTTTCTGCAGAAAAGACAAAAACACCATGAATAAACCTTTGAGCCATGCCCAAAGCCTTACTCCAGCAGGTTACGGAACATGTTTGCTTATAGAAGCAAACAGGTAAATCTTTGAGGCTGTATGATGATTGCATAGAATTAAATGTGGCTATTGAAGTGTAATGGATTAAAGGAATTCATTGTCACCAATCATTACATTCTCATATGCATTGATCACTACCCCACCAGACCCCAGACAGCCCCATTCCTGGAGAGTCATAGAGAGGTTTGAGTATTCACATATGGAAAGAATGAATCCAAAAAAGATGGTTTGTAGTTTCAAATTCTAGGTTGTATACTTCTCTTAAGTGCAGTAATTGCTTCTTAAGTGTGGTATTGCCTAGGAGTTTAAAATTTCAAAACAACACAAATCAAAGTCTCATAACTGTAAGTGCAATGGGATGCTAAAACAGGAGAATTGCCTGAGCCAGGAGTTTGAGAGCAGTCTGGCAACATATGAGACCTTCACCTCTAAAAATATAAATTAGCTGGATGTGGTGTTGTTTGCCTGTAGTCTTAGCCACTTAGGGTGAGGCAGGAAGATCACTAGAGCTGAGGCATTCAAGGCTGCAGCAAGCTTTAGAAAAAAAATCTAGTAACCTGTATAAAGATTGCTGGGTATGTAATGGGAAAAATAAAACCTTTTGTTGATGAGTATTATAAAAATATTATGAATTAGGTTAGCCATACTATCAAACCTAGTTGTTAAGATACATTGCTGTTTCCATTTTATCAGAATTTCAGCCTAAAAGGAAAAAATACTTAGAAAAATAAAGCAAATATTTCTTTGTACATGGAAAATCATTTTTAATACATTTGTGTTAAATAGCTAAAAGATGGTTTGGCTCTCAGAAATGGACTGGACTTTGATGAAGAGTTAAAAGAAACTCTTATAACCTGTCGGTAATTGGCCCTCTTCTCCTTAGACTGGTGGCTAAATTTAAGCACTGTGCTCTTTCTCTCCTTTAGAACACAGTACTCTCTGTTTTGCTTGCAGTATGTAATTCTGCTAGTGAAGCTTTGGATGTTGGACAACAAATTGCAATTATGGAAGTTGGGAAACAACTTTGGGCTTTTTTAAACATTAAACAGGTAAGGAAAGCAACTGATCATTTCCCTGAAGAATAATTAAAAAACAGCAACAGAGAATAATACTGAAATTTCCCTGTAGAGTAAAATTTACTTAATTTCTTTGGATGGTTGGTAGAACTTGTTATTAGAACTTAAAATACCTATTTGTACTCTCTCGGGCAATTTTCTTTTTCAGGGTAGCATTATATTAGATATTAGATTATATTAGCATATGGTAAAGTGACAGCAACAATCCACCTGCTTATTTTCCTAACTGGTTGGATCCTATCTAAAAATTAAATTCCTTGTTGTTTCTGTTTTTTCTTGGGTTAATAGTTAATACCTTTGTTGTAAAATCTTTTGGGCAACTGAGGGTGACCTGACCCAAAGGTGAAAGGGGAAGTGAATAGATATAGCTTATTTGTATTCCTCTTTCCCAGCAAAACCAATAAGCCAAGTGATAACT